GGAGGAATTCTTTTTAGATGAGATCATTGAGGAGACTAACCATCATGGCTAGGAGGATATTTTTAGAAGGGATAATTCAGGAGACTATGGCTTGGAGGATATTTTTTTAGAAGGGATAATTGAGAAGACTAACCATCATGGCCAGGATTATTTTTTTCGTAGAGGTAATTGAATGACGTTTTCTGGTTTCTAATTTGGACCAAAAGATTCAATGCATAGAAAAAAAGGAACAGTCTCCTACCAAATCACTGCTCTATTCTGATGCTTGAATGAAGAAAATGTCAACATACACTCACCTAAGCACAGTTCTTGAATTCTCTCGCAGAAGCACTCTTCAACACTTGAGCGGATTGCTGGCTGAAAACAAATACCAACAACAATATGAGTCATTAAAAATCCTCTAGGAGATAACTTGGAGTCTGGTGGGGAGGCATAGCTGAATTCCACAAGTACAATACGGCCAAAAAAATGTCTGTACAGTGAAAATGTAATTTGGGTTGACTATTTATCTCAAATGCGTTCTCCAAAAATTAAATCTATCCATGAATTCTACAAAATGCATCCAGCTATTGAACTTGTATAAAACTGTGTGCATCATCATGATCCAGTGCGTTTGTATTTGCGCCCTCTAGTCTATTCTGACCAGTGACACTTTTATCCTGCAATGCTTAAAAGTAACTTGATGAAACCGGAATGGCGCACTGTGAACTATAGCAAAATGCCAGTTGAACAACAAAGTTCAAAGGCACTGAGAATACCCACAAATAATAACACAAATAAGACCGGCATTTTGAGATGTCCGGATACCTGTATACGTTCTTCCGTGACCAAATTCCGCATAACTTTTCATTCTGATTGAGTTTGAGTGATATCCGGAAATAATGTGAGTACATTGCACTAGGATTTCATGTTTGAAAATTTAAACGATAAAGTCAATAGGAAAAAGGGAGGCAAAAAGTAAGAGTGTGCTTGATCGTGCCAAAAATATTGGCCAGGTTATAAAGAGTCCAGGTTTTGCGAGCCTTGTTTTTTGTAGTTCCTCTGAAATATTATTTTGAATGATCAATACATCTTTACTGTTCTGAATCACAGCAGGGAACTTGATGTTTTATACTTGCGAAAAACTGCGGTCAGAAAACAGTCCAACCTAACAGTCGAACCTAAATTTTAAAAAGTCCATAAATGTGACTTCGTAGTGTATTATCCATATCGACAAGAATCCAAATGATTTTTGTTCAAGAAGTAAAGAAACCAGTAAGTATTTGGACAATTTGTTTTTGAGAGTGCACAATGGAAGTAGTAGCGGAAATATTGCCAGACAGGAATTCCTCATTTTTATTGCCTTGAAATTTGAACTCGCAAAACCGTGGTCTGCATCCGCACCAACTGTTTACATTATAAGAGCTGAAATAAAATAGCTCGATAATTTACAAAAGTGTTTGAAATTAACTCTTTCAGACGGGCTTAGTGAATGTTATGCACAAACAAAGTCCGTCTGAACAAGTTAATTTCAAACACATTTGTAAATTATCGCAATACTTTATCAACTCCAAAGTGGTCGTTGGGAAAAGGCACAACTTCTGGATCGGAATTAGCGTGCTGGTTTTGCTGTTAGCAGACGTGTATTAGAGTCATAGTGAAATAAAAAAGAACAATTTGTTCATAAAAATCTTGGGTTTTTTTTTTCAGTCCTCAAGCTACCACATTTTCACAAGCACACAAAGACGGGAAAATATCAAGCCTACCACCGCGCTCGCTGTTTGGAGAATCATTGAATCAGCAACATTCAACAAAATCTGAATCCCGCATTGATTCAAACACATTGTGCAAAAACAACAAATTTCTTCAGAGGAAAAATGATTGTTTCAAACACTCACCGAGCAAAATCTTGTTCTTGCAGTCAGTTCTCTCTCTGGTTGTCGTCCGAAGGTGACCTGTGGTTGATGTGAAGGGTGGACGGCCCCACATTTTCTTAAATAGTGCCATCGATTTCCTGAGCAGTGACTAAAAACTCGGACCTGGATTGTGATTGCATGGCTCCTGTGCGCTGTCAATCGGACCTGGATTGTGATTGCATGGCTCCTGTGCGCTGTCAATCACACATCACCGACTCGCTTCATATTAATGATATGAAAGCAATGTTAATGTCGTTGAGGCTATATAGTCACCATAAAAACTAGTCACCGAGATTGAAATGGCCGCTTCTTATTGGTGGATATTGTATGGATGTCGGTGACACATCCAAATATGGAATTTATGATTGACACACACAATCTGTCAGTCACAGACCACTCACTTGTGGTCACCGACTTGTCGTCACCAACTTGTCACCGACAAACTGTGATTGGTGGATAGACAAGTGACGTATACACCGGCCGTGATTCATTCAATGTACAGTTGGCGCTTCAGTCTATTAAATTGTGTGGATATATTCGGGATTATGAGGAATTAAATCGTACTCAAGCCAGCGGAGAAACTTGGGTTTAACTTGGGGTAGGGCACCTGAGGTGCGTGTTTTTTTTTCAAAGGCTGCACTAAATGCAAAATAAACGTATTATTACAGCTTACAGTGAATGTTTTAATTCAGGTTTTCAAAATGGGGCGGGGGAGGGCTGGGGCCGGCTTCCACAGGGGGTGGGGGTATATGCCCCGTGTCCCCGTAGTTATGCCCCTGAGGTAGGCTTTGCTCATTGATTGGGACTTTGAGGAAATAAAATACAGTTAAATAAACTTCCATGAACTTTACGCATCATATACGGCCCGTGTATAATCGTGGCCTTCTAAATGTGGAAAAGGTTTTTACACTTGAATATCTCCCAGTTCGAATAATCATTTCCAGAAATGTTAGAATGTATGACCGGTGATGATGGACCTAAAAAGCAAACGCTCACTACCTAAAGTAATGACACAGTTCCAATAAAGCATGTTAAGTGATTTAAACGAGAAAGGCTTGTATGGAACGACCAGACTTCCTACATTTGCTAGTTTGTGGCCTCCGCATAAAGCGCACGATTCACCCTGAACTAGCCCTGGTGATATCCGGACAAATCACACCAGAGTTTGCCATTCTGTATTGCGAACCACCTCGATTTATAATAATCTCTGAAGCAATGACGTAGCGACGATGGGGGTGGGGTGGGATAGTTGAACGACCACATTCCCCCCTTCCCCCTCCCCTCCCCCATACCAGTGGGACCATACCATGCAAGTAAATGACAAAGCCACTTGTCTGATTAGGGGCCTTACATGGCCTTGTTCCGAAGCCGGGCACGAAGCCTATGTTTACAAAACGACCGAAAGTCATCGAGGTCATGAGACATACCGGCGTTTCTCAAACTCCGGCTTCGTTCCGTAAACCGGTTTCGGGCATGCGGCTTGGCAATAGAGCTGGATCCGGTATTGGAATGAAGCTAGGATTTGGAAAACCTCGCTTGTAGCTCACTCGACGTGTGTCAAGTCGCCGTTCAAAACGCCTCGCTGTTTCGTCCCTCGGTTAACTGCCGGCGCTTGTCAGGATGACCTTGTGGAAAGGCTACAGTTAGGCCTCTTGACCAGCAGAGGCAATCTCTTGTTCATATTTGCGGAGCCACCAACTTGGAAAGTTTGAAAAGCTGGGGTGGAGGGGGTTGGGCTTAGACGCTACCTGACTATTGAGGGCACTGTTCCAAATTGCATGTATACATACACGCGTACTATAGCTATAGTGGTAGTGACTTGAAATAAAAGACATTCTTATTAAAAATAACACTCAAAATATTTTTGATTTTATTTCTAGAAGATAACATGCTTTATACTTGGTGCACATAATCATGGTCTCAAGACGTATCCGCGTCGTTTGGAATGCATTGCGCAACCAATGTGTCTATGTCGTTCAGGAAATTACACAACGAACAATGTCCAGCTTTCGTTTCAGGTAGATTGCGAAATCAGAAATCGTTGCTTTTCGTTTGATAAAACTGCGCAAGAAAAGAAGGGGAAACAAAATAATTCCTTACCATATAAGGTTATATGTGGTTGATATTTAAAAAACAAAATGGGTCGATGAATGTTGATCGAAGCTTCTCCTACTTTCCAAGGAATGTTTGCATAATTGTTTTGGAGAAAAGTTTTTGTTGTTTGCCAAATTGAATTAAAAATATGAGGCTAAGTCCCCAAAAAAAGTCTCCGGTTTCTGGTATGCGCGCGTCGCCGTAGCCATGCGCGTCGGCAAAATGAATTTTTTTTGTTTTATGAAACATGATGTCTCAAAACCGCCAAACTCACTGGTTTGACTTGAATCCTGCTGCTGCACAATTTTAACGTGTTTTTAGATTGGGTTATGGTCGAGAATAAGCTTTATGTGGCCTCTCTCGGGCACCATTTGCAGTCATCAGCCGACATTTGAACCCAAAAAATCAGGTAAAAAAAAAAAAGCCGCGCCGCCGCACCACTTTTTGGGCAAGCTCCATACCAGAAACCGGAGACTTTTTTTTTTGGCCTAACCTCTTGTATTTTTTTATTGAGGAAAAAACAAAAAATCTAAATTGCCTCAAAGTTGTTGGAAAACTTGCAAAGGGATCCCGGAATACATTCTAAGTTAATGCAACAGATATTTCTTCAGTCATCTTGTGGAAACCGAGTGTGAAGGTTGACTCAAAATTGCCCGTTATTTTTTGCGTTAAACACACCTACATTTTGTGGATGGAAATTTGTGTCCTGGACGAAAAGATAATCTCGATCAAAATCTGTAGCAAAATCGCTACATCAGCGGGTAAAAAAATCAGTGTGTGTGGAAGCATTGAGTGTCTGGCCGTACTACAGAGCTTGCGATAGTACTGTACGGCCGGCCAGACGCAGTCGGGCTAGACTTTGACTTGAGTTTGCATGGACAGTCCCTAATTTTCGGGCTAGGTTCAACTAAGAATTGTTCCTTAAGTACACGCCCAGCAAATAGCAACTCACTATGGCTTTCTTTATGTAATACAAGTGCCTTTCTGTCTGTATCCTACGGTTTTTAATAGAGATTGATGACGTGCATGCCATGAGCAGCCAGTGATGCAAGACACAGAGTCAGAGGAATGCAGCATATGATGCAATTGTTGGCAGTACAGATAGCAGGTTGATCTCCAATGGGCAGCAGACATGGAAAGAATGTTGCAACCTGACGCCACTTCAGCGGTACAAAGTCTATGGTGAGTCAAGAAAATTGAAGTATTTCCCAACATTGAAATTGGGAATGTTTCTTAGTCCTAGATTCATGTCTTATCATCATTTTTGCAATGACTGTCCTTCATTGAGATGATATATGAAGAAAACAGCAACGTCAGGTTGCAAAATTCTTTCGGCAGGTGTATGATTGTCCGAAAATTTGGGACTCTCATCAATACTGTGTTTTGCATGTTTCAGAGCACTCCATGCCAGGTCCCAGTAGTGTGGGTTTATTATAGGACTGCAGGGTATGTTGGCGACACAGATTTTATATTTCGTTTCCAAAAAAAATGATCAAATGAGTGGGTGCGTTCCGGGCTTTCAAGAAGCTTTTGAAGAAAAAAACTAGGTACGCTTTTTTGACTGGGAGCTAGTCCAACCAAAAAGCTGACGTGTATTATTGCTCTTATTAGCAACTTGAGCATCATGCTTGTTGAAGTTGTTGGGGCTGTTTATGAAGCTCGATGGAGGTATTTTTTACTAAAACCATGGAATATATGTTACTTGCTCTGTTGAAAACCTAGTCTGAATATTAAAGCAAAGATGTCAGTGAGGTTTTTTTTGTCAAAACGAAGATTCACACTGCAAGATTAAAAGTCAGTATTAAAAATGTTTTCAGAATTAATTTTTTTTAATGATGTATTTGATCATCAGGATTCATTTGACGACTGAGCCCCTAGAGCAGGAGATCACTGACAGAACAGCAGCAGCGCTACAAGGGGTCTCAGCTGTCCGGTACAGCAGAGAGGAAGACAAGCTGAGACAAAAACAAAGACAATGACACAGGATGAGTGCCTACAGTTGTGTAACAAGATGCTTAGTGCAAGTATAGGAACAGTAGTTGACTCAGCTGGGATCCGTGGAGGACATGCCGTGACTGTTTCATCATGGCAACTCATTTTCAGACAAGATTGTTGCAGGTGCTGATGCGTTACATTATGTTCAGCGAGGATGCTGCCGAGCTGTGGGGGTTGGTACGCTCCGCGCAGCTGCTGTGGCATCCAGACTGTTTCCTGCAGAAATTTGATCAGCAGGTTGGTGGAGAGAGACAGGATAAGATCATCGAGAGGGTCACCCAGCTATCACAGGTGCTGAACCTGTTAGGATACTGGATTGCAGATGCTGAACCAGTAAGGATACTGGATTGCAGATGCTGAACCAGTTAGGATACTGGATTGCAGATCCTGAACCTGTTAGGATACTGGATTGCAGGTGCTGAACCTGTTAGGATACTGGATTGCAGATGCTGAACCAGTTAGGATACTGGATTGCAGATGCTGAACCTGTTAGGATACTGGATTGCAGATGCTGAACCAGTTAGGATACTGGATTGCAGATGCTGCACCTGTTAGGATACTGGATTGCAGATGATGAACCAGTTAGGATACTGGATTGCAGATGATGAACTAGTTATGATACTGGATTGCAGATGATGAAACAGTTAGGATACTGGATTGCAGATGCTGAACCTGTTAGGATACTGGATTGCAGATGCTGCACCAGTTAGGATACTGGATTGCAGATGCTGAACCAGTTAGGATACTGGATTGCAGATGCTGAACCAGTTAGGATACTGGATTGCAGATGCTGAACCTGTTAGGATACCGGATTGCAGATGATGAACTAGTTATGATACTGGATTGCAGATGATGAAACAGTTAGGATACTGGATTGCAGATGCTGAACCAGTTAGGATACTGGATTGCAGATGCTGAACCTGTTAGGATACTGGATTGCAGATGCTGCACCAGTTAGGATACTGGATTGCAGATGCTGAACCTGTTAGGATACCGGATTGCAGATGCTGAACCTGTTAGGATACTGGATTGCAGATGCTGAACCAGTTAGGATACTGGATTGCAGATGCTGAACCAGTTAGGATACTGGATTGCAGATGCTGAACCAGTTAGGATACTGGATTGCAGATGCTGAACCAGTTAGGATACTGGATTGCAGATGCTGAACCTGTTAGGATACTGGATTGCAGATGCTGAACCAGTTAGGAGTGGATTGCAGATGCTGAACCAGGTAGGATACTGGATTGCAGATGCTGAACCAGTTAGGATACTGGATTGCAGATCCTGGACTGGATTGGACTGGTCCTGCCTTCAATAAACATCCATTTGGTTTAGATTGTTTTGCATGTTTAGTAACTCAGAGTAATGTGGTTTGGTTATTCACTCAAATATTGTGCTCCATGTAATTCCTTTTACCAAGTTTTCAGTTACTTGCTTGCAGGCAATAAACAGTCATTGAATGATGCAAGGTTGGGTATGGGTGCATCGTACCCATCGATTGAACACAGCCTCAATATCTCTCACTTGGATATAATTTTAAATTAAAGTCTGAGAACAGTTGAGAAGAGTCGTTTTCATGCCCTTTGTTGGTCCATGCGATCCTGGGTCAATGTTAGCTGTTATTTCAGTATATTTCAGTAATCCTAATTCCTTGGTAGGCGTCGACATACATGAAATTTATATTTTTTTATAACCACAGTCTGAGCAATTACTGAGACTCCGACCCCCAAGAAAAGTTCTTTATTGCTGTATATTCTAACAATACAAAATTATGCACTTTTGCATGAGAACAACAATTTTGGCCCATATTTGGTTATGTAATATACTTAGATTGTCATTATATGTAGCCCTAGAATATGTCAGTTCTTGTAGGGAAAACTGGTTCCCGATATCCCTGTCAGAAATGGTAATGTAGGCAAACAGTCTCGTGTACTCAGTAGGGAAGGGGACCTGTTTGCATGGAAAAGCTACCAAATTAAATGCTACTTGTTCTGAGGGTTGTAAATGTCCCAAAACAGAACAAAAGAGTTGTTTTCTTCTGTTAAAATAAGAAATAGATAGAAAATTGGTAATTGGAAAACAATATAATTTGTTGATTTTGGACAATTAGTCATCTTAAATTCCAAAACCCAGTTACTAGTCCTTATCATTGTTTTTTTTTTAACTGTACGCATGCAGTACTGACATGCGTGAAATATTTTGGTTAAATGGAATGTACAACATTTGCCTTTGCTGCAATTTTCAAAAATAAATGGATTTGGAGGATTATTATGTTATAGCAAATATTGTTCAAATGACTTGTTTCACGTTTTGGGCTTGTATATGCTGGAAAACCAAGAAAACCAATCATGTTCATGTAGTCTGGTTCCCCGAACCACTTAAGATGAAGCAGAGCAATTTGTAGACTTTGGGGAATTGTAAGGTCAGAGAATAAGTCTAGAAGGCTTGTACCCTTTCACCATTGTGTAATTCAATTGCAACGATAACGCGAAATAACTAAATATGAAAAATTAGGAACTGTTTTTATAGCCATTTTTTTTTCCACTGCTGGTTGGCTAACCAGTGTTGGAAAAATACAATTTTTCTTGAAAATGTCAGCACACCAGGAGCCATGATTTTACAGGATGCTAAGCTTTTGTGTCATTCCCTAACAATCAAGTGAAGTGCTTCGTGAAAATTTGACCATGTCGTTTTTTTATGCTTGCAAATGTTATATCTACCCTTAACATATGTTTCATTTTTGCAATAAAATGCTCTTCAACTATTTCAATAATAACACAGTCAGTGACAACTATGTGTTAAGTTTCATATACGTGTAAAGTTTTAAACGCTGTTGAAAGAATTAAAATGAAAATCATTTTCAGAAAAAAAATTCCAAACTTGTCTCTTCTATAGTTTTCAATTTCTTGATCCCATCATGGATGGAGGATTAAATAATATTTTTAAAAATAAAAAAGAGAGAGAAGAATATAACTTACAATTTTAGTGTTTATATTTTTGAAGTATTTGATTCTGAAAACAAAACTTCATTTTTTTTAAGATAAGTTCACCAAATTTATTTTTGGGGAAAAAAAGAAGAAGAAAATTAAGTAATAATATAATCATGGTGGGATTCGAACCCGAGTCGCCAGATTGGGAGTCTTACGCCGTTCCAGCAGACCATTAACGCGCTCAAATGCACTTCTAGTTCTTTTTAATTATAACTGTAAGATAGACTTGTCGCGGCTTTTCACGTACACGCCCATGCACGCTTAGACGTAAAACACAGTCTGACGATGTAAATCACTCGTTTGATTTTGGGTGTAGCTGTTCAAGTTGATCTAAATTTATGTGGAAAAGGATAAAGGGTGTCAACTGAACTGAAATCCAGAAATTCCATGGAATAAAACTCGACAATCCTTGGTTTCAGTACGAAACACACGTGTTCAACGGATGCAGAGAAGCCCATTTCTTTTGTTAATTTCCTTTGTTGAATCTTGCGTTAACAATAAAATGTTTCCATTGAGGGAAAAGGATTAAACGCCGCGATCTTTTTTCACGCTTGAGTGCATCTGAATGGGGAATATTGAAGCGGAAAATCACGAATTACAGCACTTCGGCAGCATTTTATCCCACATAATGATACTTTTTGGAGAGGAAATTGCATACTAAATACAACTGTAGTTTCAAAATTCAAAAATTCGCCGTATTTAAAAAGTCGAGGTAATTTTTTTGGAAAAATTTCACTGAAACTTTCCTCATCCGAACGTAGGCGGCGCTATATATATTTCATTTTCGCACGTGCACCGTATCCAGAGTTGGCTAGCGCATTATCGTGTGTGTATGGCATTGCAAGGGATGGGGGCGGGGCTGGCTGCCTATTATGTATACATGAACGGTTTATAACCCTTTTTTAAAAACATTTTTCCACTTACGACTTTTAGTAAAAATATTTCGCTTGTTCCCCCCTCCCCCCATCTCACACGACAAAACAAATAGACCGCTTGCATATGCGTTCGATAATCGACGCGCGAAGGCGCGCGACGCCATGTTGTGGGACAAGCGTATATCTATCCACGCACATTTTGTCCCACAACATGGCGTCGCGCACCTTTGCGCGTCAATTATCGATCGCGTCTGCAAGCGGTCTATTCCCGCCCCCCTCTTGCTTCATGGGTATACCGGGGCCCTTTTATTAATATCCTTATACGCGTCTCTTTTGTTCCATTAAAGTTGACTTTTATTCTGATTGCATTTTTTTTCACAGACCTTAATTGTCTATTGTTTTAGTTGTAGACCTATTCAACTTTTATTCGTGAGATAAATTGAAATTGTGATGCTAGGATAAGATTGGGTAAACGGGTGATACACAGATCGGGCGGCGGCTATCGCGCTAACAATGCGCGCACTGAGAATGAAATATATATATAGCGCCGCCTACGTTAGGATGAGGAAATTTTTAGTGAAAGTTTTCCAAAACAATTACCTCGACTTTTTAAATACGGCGAATTTTTGAATTTTGAAACTACAGTTGTATTCAGTATGCAATTTCCTCTTCAAAAAGTATCATTGTGTGGGATAAAATGCTGCCTAAGTGCTGTAAATCGTGATTTTCCGCTTCAATATTCCCCATTCAGATGCACTCAAGCGTGAATAAAGATCGCGGCGTTTAATCCTTTTCCCTCAATGGAAACATTTTATTGTTAACGCAAGATTCAACAAAGGAATTTAACAAAAGAAATAGGCTTCTCTGCATCCGTTGAACACGTGTGTTTCGTACTGAAAGCAAGGATTGTACGAGTTTTATTTCATTGAATTTCAGGATTTTAGTTCAGTTGACACCCTTTACCCTTTTCCAATTAAATTTAGATCAATAAGAACAGCTACACCCAAAATCAAACGAATGTTTTACATCGTCAAACTGTGTTTTACGTCTAAGCGTGCATGGGCGTCAACGTGAAAAGCCACGATAAGCCTATCTTACAATTGTAATTAAGCAGAACTAGTATAACATTTGAGTGCGTTAATGGTCTTGTGGACCGGCGTAGGACTCTCAATCAGGCGACTCAGGTTCGAGTCCCGGCCCACCATAATCATTTTATTCTTTTTTTTCTTACCTTCCCAACTTTTTATAGCCCAAACTGAACTTATCTTTTAAATAAACTGAAGTTTTGTTTTCAGATTCCCAAACAAACTACCAAGAAAACAAACAAAACAATAACAAACAGGTATTTTTTTTCACTTTTATTTATTGTGATGATTTAATATCCCTTCATTCAAAGAACTATGCACAGCATTTCAACAATATTTTAAGTACACATTTACTTTTAAAATTCACCTACACAATATTGACACTGCAAGATAAAATTTATCGCGGGACTTAAAGGGAATGTACAACTACAACATTTGCTTTTGCTGCAATTTTCAGAAATAAATGGATTTGGATGATTAGTATGTTTTATACAACACCTGAATAAATCCCCGTCATCTGATTGGTGAATTGTAGATCACGTGACATATTATTATTCGGTATAATGCACGGTGCGACCATGCGTTATACCCATGCGTTATACCGTTTCACTTTGCGCTTGTTCCATGACGCGGTATTTGCGTGCAAAATGCATGCTGGTGTGCGCGTTCAGCGCAGCGCGTATTGTTCCAAAGAGCCAGGGCTACAGCGTTGGGTTCAAACATTTTCGTGTAGGGGTAGTTCAACATCTTTAAAATCAAAATAAATTGTAGTTTATAATTTACCAATCAAATGACGAGAATTTATTCAGGTGTTGTATAAAACAAATAACGAATGTTTTACGTTCGTGCGATGGAAAGAATAATTTCATTCGGTGACAGATTGAATGTTCTATTCCACTCGGCTTCGCCTCGTGGAATAGAACATTCAATCTGTCACCTCATGAAATTATTCTTACCATCGCACTCACAAACATTCGTTATTTGTATAATAGCAAATATCGTTAAAATGACTTTTTCACATTTGGGCTTGTAGATGCTGGAAAAGTCAAGAAAACCAATCATGTATTTGCAGTCTTGTGACCCCACTTATAAGATAAAACGGAGCAATTAATAGACTGGGGGGAATTGTAAGGTCAGAGAATCAGTCTAGCAGACTTGTACGTGTGTAATCAATTGCAAAGAAAATGCGGAATAACTAATTATAAAAAAATTGGGAGCAATTTTTGAAAAATAGCCAGTTTTCTCCAATGCTGGTCGGCCGACCAGCGTTGGAAAAGTACCATTTTTCTTAAAACTGTCAGCACATCAGGAGCCACAATTTTACAGGATGCTTTAGACTGTCATTCCCCAACAATCCAGTAAGGTATTTTGCGATAATTTGATCATTTCGTTTTGTGATATTTGCAAATCTTGTATCTTCCCTTTAAAGAAAGGCAGTATAACATTTAATGTTTTTACAGATGAAATAAAGAAATGAAGTCAGAATATCACACAATATTGGAAAAGAATGTTGCAACCTGACGCCACTTCAGCGGTTGTGTGCAAAGTCTATGGAGCGTCAAGAAAGTGTTCTCTTAAGTATTTCTCAGTCCCAGATTCATGTTTTATCATAGTCATCATTTTTGCAATGAATGACTTCATTGAGATGATATGAAGAAAAAGCAGCATCAGGTTGCAACATTCTTTCCCAATATTGTACATGACAAAAATATAGTATTGACAATGTGATAGATAGATGGAGAAGCTCTGCTGGCAGAAATTGTGTGCTTAGCAGCGCTATGAAATTGGGCCCAGTTCAAATCACTTATTTTCAATTTGTTTCATGCCTTCTGGACCTTACACCCTAATTACTTGACAAACGTGCTCTGAAAACTTGAACATGTATATTCATATCAATATAAACCATGAATTAGCATAATTACATTACGTACAGATAACTACCCCCCTCCTTGAATAACCATTCCTGGCCCATTCTCATGCCGTTGGGTTGTCTCTAAACAGGCCCCAGAAACTCCAAGACAACAAACTTGCAAATTGAGTTGTCTTTTTATTTATGACGTGAACCTTTATAATTATGATATGAACATTTTAATGCTACCTGACTGACTGTCCGACCGAGTCACTGACCGAGTCACCAACCGAGTAACTGAGTTACTGACTGAGCCACTGACTGACCGAGTCACTGAGAGAGTCACTGACCGAGTCACTTACTGAGACACTGAACAAGTCACTGTGTCGCTCAATAAGTCACCGAGTGATTCACTAACCGAGTCGCTGACCGAATCACTGACCGAGTCACTGACCGAGTCACTGACCGAGTCACTGACCGAGTCACTGACCGAGTCACTGACCGAGTCACTGACCGAGTCACTGACCGAGTCACTGACCGAGTCACTGACCGAGTCACTGACTGAATCTGACTCAAACACTGAGTCGCTGATCGAGTCACTGAGTTGTTGACTGAGTCACTGACTGAGTCACAGAGTCCAGCTTAACTAGGCAAGCCTACTTTGTTTTATGCCATGAGAGACTAGCCTCTCTCCAGAACTGTTGTTTTCTCCTGCATAACCACCTTGCCAAAGCTAAATAAAGAAATGTTTCAAGGCAAATTTGCCAATGTGAAGACCAATTAAATCACTCCTAAATTAATCAACAATATTGTTCCATTATTTTATTTTTGGAAAATCCCTTTGCAAGCAGGAGTTTCTTGGAATGTACAAATTTAAACAATCTCAAGACTAGGATAGGGACCACCTCAGGAAACTGGTGCCCTGTTGTCCTTGGCCCACTTCTTCATGACACGGATGATGTATTCCACCTGTGGGTTACCGGTGTTGCGCAAGGTTTGGAGGATGTCTCGCAGTGTTTCTCTGTAGAGGGAAAAAAATGACAAAAATCTAGTGGCTTGAACTTCACTGGGTTTTGTGCACATGAAGATGAAAGCTATTAACAAGATGGACTTTGCGTCGGGGTGATGTAAATCAATGTTAGGTTTTGCCCTTCACCGATGTATAAACACTGTATACTCAGTGTGTTACCTCCCGAGTGAAAGTTGGGAAAATAATCACTTGGGTGGGATTCGAACCCACGACTCGACCATGGAGCTTACGGGGTTGGTTGGCTGGCCAGGCAACCAATTCTGTAAGCTTGATGGTCCAGTGGTTAAGACGTCTGCACTAAAAAGCAGGAGGTCATGGGTTCGAGTCCCAACAGAGTGATTTTTCCAACTTTCACTCGGGAGGTAACGCACTGAGTATACAGTGTTTATACGTCAGTGAAGGGCAAAACCTAATAGTGAAAATGAAAGCTGTTTATAGAATATTGGGGGAAAAAGGAAAAATCCATAAAGATCAATGAATTTGAACTAGAGGGCTAAGAACGTGAAAAGTATTCATGAAGATTTGTAATAAAAAGCCGTATCCTCTCTGAGTGATCCCCGTTTGATATTTGCCAGGTCTGCATCGTGACTTTGGGCGTGATCCCTGGCTGCATGGCATATGCGGGTTGAGGGCTTCTGACTAGCGCCCCTTTGACAGAGACATTGACAATTAGAGAACCGCCAACATTGGGCTGGATAGCTCAGTTGGTAGAGCACCGGAGTGATATACTAATTGAGATGTAATTGGTCAGTGCACACTGTTTGATTGATGTACTGTGGTCACCTGACTGTCACCTGACCATAAGTTGGGATCTGATTGGTCAGTGTGCACTGTTTGATTGATGTACTGTGGTCACCTGACCAAAGGTTGAGATCTAATTGGTCAGTGTGCACTGCTGATTGACAAACACGACACCCACCTTGGTTCATGGCCAGCTATGATCTGCTGGAATACGCCCACGCACACCCCTCGCTTGCCTCTCCAGTATTCAGGATTGGGGTCCAATCTTTCCAAGACATCGAAAGCCTTGGTCGCATAGTAGAACTGGCCATCTACCGATAGAAAAGATGAGATTTGAGGATCGAGAGACTGTGACAATTATATTTTGAGGTCGAGCAAAAAACATCAGAAGTTCGAACGAAAAGCCTGAAGTTTTCGATCATATCGCCACCGTGTTGACAAAGTGATGAATTTGTCCCAAATGAATTTTTTAAGCAGTTGGGATTTTTGGCTATTCTAATATTTTATGATGCCTTCTACATGCTTACTAAAGTTTGCGACACAAAAGTGCATCCTTCATTATTCAAGCTAATGACACAAAGTAGTAAATGTGCAACGAATTATTTTTTTTTCTTTTTTTGACAGGGATTCGTATTCTTGTTGATTTTACACGTGAAAACAATGTTGCAACCTGATGCCGCTTTTGTCTTCACACGTCATCTCAATAAAGATCAGTCATTGCAAAATGATTCACAAACATGAATCTGGGATTGAGAAACATTTCCAATTTGGTTCAGAAATACTTGGAAAGTTTTCTTGACTCGCCATAGACTTTGTACAAAACCGCTGAAGTAGCGTCTGGATACTGCATTCTTTTCTACACATGCGTTATATTTTAGATTTATGTCTCCTCTACGATTTGCGTTTTGCCGAAGTGACAAATCTGTTTCGTGAAATCGGCTGCAGGTTTAGATTGAGTGACTGGATACTAATTTGGGGCTAATGCCAAAATCTTGACCAAACATACAACGGACAAAAATAGGGGATGATGTTTTACCTTGTAGCCGTCGTTGGCAATGAGCTACAGCAGGCTGAAAAATTCGCCAGACGTCTCCATCTTAAGGTACAACTCCCAGGCTAGTCTGGCCTTACGATTCATGATGTCTGAACAATGAAAACAACACAAAGAAAGGTTATAAATACGTAGGATACTGCTGCAAGAAAACACATTGGGGTCCACAAAAGATGGTTCGGTTCAGTGGATGCTCGTTTCAGCAATTTTCGGCCAGCAATGCTCAGTGTAACTGTGTACAATATTTGGGAGCCAAGAGGGATGTTCAATGTAGCAAATTTCTGTCGTACAATATGCTTGAAATGTGATAGAACAAATCCAACATGGCAAATGTATGACTAAGATGTGAAGTTTACACGTTTAAACGACAAAACTTCAAAATCCGTTTACAAATTTCTCAAAACATTTAAACAAAACCCGAATATACAAAAGATTGAGACCTCCGTTCACGCGATCTTCCTTGGAGATAACCACACATACATGTTGCACAAAAAATTAACGTTGTTTTCAAACCTACTTAATTTACAAAACCTTAGAAGCACCGTAGTACTTGATTGCATTTGGGGAACACGTAGTTACATTTTTACTTTATCAACGACTGCCTGCTATTTACAATGTCAACCATTGTTGATTTATCATGTCAATCACGCCGGTCTGCAGATCAGACATAATGGGTAGGCAAAAGCCACTGTCAATGGCTAAACGTTTAAAACAGTTCTTAAAATATTTGCTTAACGTTTACAAAATGAAACGCAAAGTCACATCCTTAATATACGATCAGGGCGATGATTGCATGCTGGTTATGTCATTGTTAGAGACCCTTCAGTCTACCTCACACATGGGCAACATGTGCATCTCCCTAATGCCACTCTGGATTTTCCAGCAGTACATGAAATGCATGCACGCGACGTGTCCTGACTTTAGTTGGACATTTGGTTGTGCAGTCACAATTGTGAGTGGTCAATACATTATGAGTTGAGGCTTTACAGGTGGATTCGTTCCCATCATTAGCAACTTGGAAGTTGGAAGAGGAAACGTCATTCACAATTGACGGTAATACTCACAGCATCTTGCCAACCAGAGACACGTGTAGTCATTCTTGATCTTCTCACTCTGAATGAGCACAAAAATCTGCAAAACAAGAGAAACGAAACCCACTCCAATTAAATCATGGTAAAACCAAGTGTTCCCAACCAAAACAGTGGTCTAGGAGGCACAGAGAGATCCCCATCCGGGTTTTAGACTTGATTTTTCATGCCTATTTGCCCTGAACAAGGCTAAAAGCCACTCCAGATATACAGGGCTACAAGTCGGAGCAAAGCAGCTAAATCAACCCCACCATCTCTGCCCTCATAGGCACCCACTTATAAGCCATCAGTGTGGGGGTTTGGTCAGTATCAAATGAGGGCAATAATGCTCATTGTGATTTTTGGCAAGGTATGCACCCCTCTAGTCGGAAAATATGTGACAGCATTGCAGCGGTGGCAGCTTTTTGGGTGCTATCCCTTGTTTTCTTTTTTTTAAATGGCAGCCAAAACATGCTTGCTACAACATACAATTGATCCGGTTCAAGCATATTGACGGCAATTTTGAAAACACAAATCAAAAGTGATAACACTGCCACCACTCACACTGCAAAGCTATCACACATTCTCCAACTCTAGATGTGCCTTTCAAAAAATCGCTATGAGCATTGCTCTTTTCGATCGTCTGGTACCGGTGGCCCATTTTTTGGACCAAAGCTGAGAGCCTATTACTCCTGGGTGGGGAGAAGCAATGAGTGACAAAGTGCCTTGCCCAAGGGCACACGCACCATGACCCCAGGCTGGACTCGAACCCACAACCTGCAGCTTTACCCGCAGACCACGAATCCAACGCCCTTAACCACGAGGCCACAGCACTCCACACTCCTCTTGAATCAGGACAGATCATAGGTTGGAGGGAAATAAGCACCAGGCAAGGAATTCCAAAGAGATGCAGCACGTGGGAAAACAAGCTATTGGAATATCTTTTTGTTCTACATCTAGGTATACGGCAACAGTATGGATGAGAACAGACAGTAAGTCGGGCTTCTCTATCAAACAGGGCCGACCATCGGTGGAAATCAATACAAAATTCCACTTTTCTAGAAACTAACAGCACACCAGGTGCCGTGATTTCACAGGATGCTTGAGACTATTATTCCCTAACAGTCAGGTATTTTATAATCACTTGGTAGTTTTGGTGTTTGATGTTTGCAAATGAAAGGCACCATGACTAGTTCAGGCACCATGACGAGTCACTGCGCCATGACTGGCCAACTATTGAGGGCGCAACAACAAAAATTGGGTCCGGGAGTCCAACCTACCTCCTCTGCTTCCTTGTAGTTGCCTGCTGTGGCTTTGGCCTGCGCATAGTTGTAGTTGAACCTATCGTCGTTGTTGAAGTAACTCTAGAAACGTAAACACACAAAAATGTCATCTTAGTTTTTCTGATAATTTTCCCACCTGCACTACTTTTTTTCCCCCCAAAAAGGGCCAATACAGCTAAACCATGCCACAGAAACAACTATGAGCAAGTTGGGGCGAGACTTGCCCCATAAATGTGGCCTTTTTACTGGACTGCCTCCGTAAACATAGGCCACACATCCACATGTACAAAAATCGTGTCGACGGAGCCAAATTTTGATTTTCACATTTAGGCTTAGTTTGTAGGTTTTTTTTGCTTTAGAAGCATACTCACCCTCTTTACAGGCTAATCAGAAAGTGCTGCCTTTTTCAGATGTATATTTTTCGTGAAATTTCCAGATTCATTTTTACACGTTTGCGTATCAAAATTTCAACATGAAATTTCACAAAAAATATACATCTGAAAAAGGCAGCACTTTCTGATTAGCCTGTAAAGAGGGTGAGTATGCTTCTAAAGCAAAAAAAACCTACAAACTAAGCCTAAATGTGAAAATCAAAATTTGGCTCCGTCGACACGATTTTTGTACATGTGGATGTGTGGCCTATGTTTACGGAGGCAGTCCAGTAAATAGGCCACATTTATGGGGCTAGGGCGAGACTAGTGGTCGATTCCTGACGTAAATTCGATGCCTGAGCACTAATATCAACATGCAAACGCCTCTACTCAGACGATGGTCAAAATTGTTCACCAAATAAAGAGAATGGTCAAGAATAATTCCAAAAAAAAATTGGTCCTGAATAATAGAGGGTGATTGGCAAGAAATATTTTCAGGTTTTTGGAGAAAAGTTCACAAACGAATAGTGTCTAACATTAAATGCATTAGATAAAATTACCTCCGAGCAAATATGCAGTCCTATGCCCCCTGTCTGTCTGGCCTCAACTCCATTTTCAAAGCTGTTAATGAAATAAAATGAATCAATAAACATTACTGCAACTTTCCTAAAAAAATACAGCGGTGCTGTTGAAACCCCTCGGCCTGAGTTTGTTGATATAAGGTGCAAAATTACAAATACATGTAGTAGAATAGTTAATACTGGTCAATGGAATGACCTAGACCTTGACCAATGACGTTGACCTTTGACCTGTTGACCCCCAAATCAATCCAAACTTGACTTTCCTGAAGGGCAACCCCTGAAGTTACAAACCCGAATCACATTTCTAACTCAAATTATCATCGAGAAACAATCTACCTCCAACTCACCACTGATATACTCAGCCAAAAATAAGAAAATAATTTTCTGACATTCTTCTAGTTGGCTAATGTAGACATAAATGATATTTATTAATTAGAATTTGTTAACTTTAAATAACTTTTTTAGTGTTAACCTGGAATTTTCCAAGATTTACGCAAGTGCGCTGTGTTAGGGAACACTGATCAGCTGATTTTTGGCCCAATTTCCGGACGCCACCGTTTTAAAATTTTGCTCAAAATTGTATGACAGTGAAATTGTTTACAGAAGTTAAATGGCAAACACTACTGAAAAAGTACCAGTAATAACTGAATGAATTCGAAGTTTATCAACAAAGAAGTTTGGCAACCGTGCATGAGGAAAGTCAGGAGAAACGTCGCAGTGCGCCACGTTAGGGAACACCACTATATGTGTGCATTGATACTGGGTTCTTAATTGGGGTAGGTGCGGTGAACTAAAAACAATAGGCCCTGGCCCTGCTGACTATATGACTATACAATCATGGAGCTATAAAAAGAGGTCTTACCCAACAATGTATGCAAAGCATTCCAAAATACTCCGGAAAGACTCCCATACCTCAGACGTCACTGACCAACAAAGACTAGGAAATGTCCTTTGACATGTTTTCTCAGTAGGCATGGTAGCAACTTTTCCCTGATATAAATCCGACATTTTTGGACACATTATCCCTTTAAATGGTGATATAGGTCACTGTAGGGAAAAATTAGTGATGTCTAGATATATGGGAATCTTTCCAGTACGCCGAAAGGAAGTTGAATTTTGAGAAATAAATAGTCCAGACTTACCTGACGTACAGGCCTATATAGCCTACCGCTGCATTATCTGCTGCATAATGTTGATCGATAACCAAACAACAGGTGGCGCTCTTTACAATTAACGGTGTCAGGTACAATCTCATTCAAGTGATGTTGAGCAGTACGCGTTGCCATGGTGATACGTCATCAGTGTGCTCTGCATCCTGTATGTGCTCCACAGTTGACATCCTTGGTAGAACCTTCAAACTCTGTCAACTTCAAGATACAAAGGAAAACAAGTTACTTTAACATCTTTACCTTCTAATTCATAAGGTTAGGTTCAAATATTGTTTTCATCTGCTATTTTTTGGAAAGGGCATTGTTTGAAGAATTTAATTGACAATAATTATTGTGAAATTTGAGAACAATTTTCCAAAAAATTGACAAATTTACAAAAGATAAAAATGGGGCCTGTAGGGCCTGACCATACTTCCTGAACTTAGTTTAAAACCCTTACACTTACAGTTCTGAAAGAATGACTATACAATCATGGAGCTATAAAAAGAAAGTCTAACAATGTATGCAATTAAAGCATTAATAACCCCCTAGGCCCTTTTTGCTTGGAACCATCCTCAATCCTCCAAAATTTTGCAACTCCGCCTAAATTTTAAAAAATTGTCAGACAGTCCTGCCTCAAAATGCATTCATCGTCAATCCTCCAAAATCCTCCTCATCCCAAAATTTTGCACTCGTGTTTAAATGAAGGATAACCAACGCCAAATCCTTCAAAATCATCAGACAGTCCTGCCTCAAAATGCATTCACCCTCATGGAGGTACATCCTCCAAAATCCTCATATGCTTCAATCACCATTCATCCTCAATCCTCCAGAATCCTCATGTGCTTCAATCACCATTCATCCTCAATCCTCCAGAATCCTCATGCGCTTCAATCACCATTCATCCTCAATCCTCTAGAATCCTCATATGCTTCAATCACCATTCATCCTCAATCCTCTAGAATCCTCTTGTGCTTCAATCACCATTCATCCTCAATCCTCTAGAATCCTCATGTGCTTCAATCACCATTCATCCTCAATCCTCCAGAATCCTCATGCACTTCAATCACCATTCATCCTCAATCCTCTAGAATCCTCATGTGCTTCAATCACCATTCATCCTCAATCCTCTAGAATCCTCTTGTGCTTCAATCACCAAATTCATCCTCAATCCTCTAGAATCCTCATGTGCTTCAATCACCATTCATCCTCAATCCTCCAGAATCCTCATGTGCTTCAATCACCATTCATCCTCAATCCTCTAGAATCCTCATGTGCTTCAATCACCATTCATCCTCAATCCTCCAGAATCCTCATGCGCTTCAATCACCATTCATCCTCAATCCTCTAGAATCCTCATGTGCTTCAATCACCATTCATCCTCAATCCTCTAGAATCCTCATGTGCTTCAATCACCATTCATCCTCAGTCCTCCAGAATCCTCATGTGCTTCAATCACCATTCATCCTCAATCCTCCAGAATCCTCATTTGATTCAATCACCATTCATCCTCAATCCTCAAGAATCCTCCAAAACCGCCAGGAGGATTTTGGAGGAGCGAGGTGGGTTAGGGTTAAAAAGTACTCCGGAAAGATTCCATACCTGGAGTTCTGGACATTTAGTGAAATGTCCTTGGTGTTTTTTCAGACAGTAGGATGCTGACAGTGCCAGTAAGCATGTAGGATGGAACGCCGTATTATCGCGGTACTTACATGTATCACGTTTCTTGTTTGGAATGGAGATTGCCCGCTAACCTTCCCGAATTGTCCTGTCTCTTAGGTTGTATAACTCTTCCTTTTCAAATGCCTGTGAAAATAGACATGCTCAGAATGTGCGAATGGAGGTGGACTCCCTATTATCGCGGTATGTGGGAATTGTGGTTTTTATAATCATCTCAACTTTTTTTTTTCATAGTGAATGTTTTACCAAAACATCCCCTGAATAAAGTCTGTTATTTTCCCTGTAACGTTCAAGTTGATTACACTTTGAAAGACTATATCCCAGCAGGATGATTTCTTAAAACCCTGCCCTTCCCCGAAAGGAGAACACAAAATACTGTGATGACAAGTCTACTGATTGGCGATTGGGGGCGCCATTCAGTTTACACATCCCCAGTGTGCCGTTTAATTTTTTCTTACGCGCTGTCCTTATTTTTAACCCGTAAAAGTTTTTACGATTTCGCGGTGGAAATATCCTCCTTTGACTTCATTTTGTGTTTGCAGCTGTAGATCAGAAGGGGAACCAGACAATGGAACTTCCATGGACAGAACACCATTAATGTTAGAGTATAGACGGTACCTTTTAAGTTTTAGCAGACACAGTGAGGGAAAATTTGCAGGTTTTGGCAAATGTGAGTATTTATTAAAAATCGTTAAAATTTCAAGTCCCGAAAGACACAACATTTTTTAATCGTCCTTTTGATACGACTCGGCAGTAAGTCCTTATGGCCTGGAGAACTGGATAAAAATCGCCACTTAAAGGGAATATACAACATTTGCAAACATCGAAAAAAAAAACTACCAAGTTTTTTCGAAATACCTTAATAGGATGTTGGTAAATGACAGCCTGAAGCATCCTGTAAAATTATGGCACCTGGTATACTGTCATTTTCAAGAAAAGTGGTATTTTTGTATCAATTTCCAACGCTGATCGGCCGATCAGCGTTGGAAACAACTGGCTTTTTTTTCAAATACTGGCCCCAATTGACCATTGCACTTGTTTGCAATCGATTACAAACCTATGAACGGGTACGAGCCAGCTAGACTGGTTCCCTGACCTTACAATTCCCCAATGTATGTAAACTGCTCTGTTTCTTCTTATATGGAGTCAGGGAACCAGACTACAGGAAAATGATCGTTTTTCTTGGTTTTTATAGCATTTTCGAACCCAAAACCTCCAAAAAGTCAGTGCAACTATAGTTGCTTTATATTTCCAACCCCCCAATTCCATCCATTTCTGAAAATTACAGCAAAAGCAAATGATGTATATTCCCTTTAAAGTTAAAGGAGTTCAGGCAACACAAAAAGAGAAATTTTCCCGTGCCGCGATAAAGGGATGCCACGATAAGCCTAGGGTAGGGAGTCCGACTATAGTTTTTTGGTAACAAATTTCCCTGCCAATCCAATATTTTTTACAATTTTAGACAGGAATGGTGGCATAAATCACTGAAGGGAAAAATGAGTGATGTCCAGATATGGGAATCTTTCCAGTACGCCGAAAGGAAGTTGAATTTTGACAAGTTAATAGTCCAGACTTACCTGATGTACAGGCACAGGCCTAGCCTAGCCTACCACTACCGTCCATAATGTTGATATCGGATAACCAAACAACAGGTGGCGCTCTTCACAATTAACGGTGTCATATACAATCTCGTTCACGTAGTGTTGAGCGGTACGCACTGACAGGTACTTAATACAGGAAAGAAAGTTACAAAATAAAGTTAGCCCTGGGGACGAGGTTGCGAAAAAGTTTCGTAGTCCGAAATTTCCCATCATGCATTGAAAAATCCCAATTCCTTTCGAGATATGATTTGGGATTTTAGAATCGTTATTCGTTTTCCGTTTTGCTTTCGAGTCGGGAAGTGGGGGAGTGGTTTTCGTTATCCGTTTTTTTTTGGCTTAGGAATTGGGAAATGGTTTCGTTATCCGTTTTTATTTTTGTTTAGTTAATGCGGGAAATTAATGTGGTATGAGATTGTCACTTGACACCGTTAATTGTGAAGGGCGCCGCCTGTTGTTTGATGATATCCCATTATTGTCCGACTAGCGCAGCAGACAACTCGATAACGTAAGACTAATAAGACTACCGCCCTAAGACGGTCTAGACTTTTTATTCATACTTTAAAGACAAACAAATATTGTGATAACCAAAAACCTGCTTTCGGACATTCATTCAAATGTTAGGCAGCTATTTTTGTGGTTTGAGCAGAGAATTTTTTGGTATTTCTTTTATAAATATTTTGAAAGTCGTGTGAACATGGTGAATGAAAAGCTAGGATGCATTGTCTAGAGGAAATTTAAGTGAAGTTTTTGACCAAATTTTATTAAAAAGGTAATGTTGATAATTAACCAATTGGAAATGGCTGAAAACTATTATCCCTATATAGATCCAATAATGTAAATTAGATATGTATTTAAACAATCCCCAAAACAAAGTGAAATAACGCGTTACCCTATTGAATTTAACTTGTGTTTCTTTAATGACTTGAAAAAATAAAATGACTCGGAGTTAGAAAATATTAAAAAGAATATACAAAAACTTGGCGATAGGCTGCCTGCAGTCCAAAAAGAACATTTGCCTCACTTTTGCACAGAAACGACAGTCCAGCTGGACACGCTATTTTATATCTTACAAATTAAGTGACGCGTTGAATTGAATTCTAGTCAAATAACTAGTCATGAAAAATAGACAAACAAGACGTAGAGTGTAGTGGCCCTGCATTTCCAAGCGGCGGCTGTACCGCACTGCATTCGCAAAGTAATGTGTACATACATTTTGCATAAAATTGTGACTCAAGTCGACTCGAGTCATTACAACTGCAATGCCTATTCTTAACATAGACATTGACAACGTGAGAGACTAAACACGATGGAGTTTGGTAGCTCAGTTGGTAGAGCACTGGAACTACAATCCGGAGGTCCCAGGTTCTATTCCCTCTTCCTTTCAATTTGTGGATTGTTGTATTTCCCTGTACAGGCCACAGATTATTGCATTGACTGGTCGCCCTGGATGTAGGCCTGCCCTGGTTCACTTCGTCTCCCATATCACCAAGAGCACAAGCCTTCTCATATGCGGAGCAGTGCTGATCGTAAGTAATCTGTTAAAGTCGCAATTTGTCTGTGATTTGATGAAAGCTTGTCCCTGTGAAGCATTATGATCAGAACCTAGAGGTGCAGATCATAAGTAGTTTGCTACAGTTGTAATTTGTCTGTGATTGGACATTAGATTGTCCTTGTGAAGCATCATGATTACTTCGTCTCCCATATCACCAAGAGCACAGCCCTCCTCATATGCGGAGCAGTGCTGATCGTAAGTAATCTGCTTGAGTCGCAAGTTGTCTGTGATTTGACAAAAGTTTGTCCTTGTGAAGCATTGGGATCAGAACCTAGCGGTGCAGATCATAAGTAACCTGCTACAGTTGCAAGTTGTCTGTGATTCGCCACGAGCTTGTCCTTCAGGGGCATTACGATCAGAATTTAGCGGTGCTGATCATAAGTAATCTGCTACAATTGCAAGTTGTCTGTGATTTGACAAAAGCTTGTCCTTGTGAAGCATATTGTCAGAACCTAGCGGTGCAGATCATAAGTAACTTGCTACAGTTGCAAGTTGTCTGTGATTTGACATAAATGCCATAAAGAGTGGGTGATTTGTTGTCGAGAATGGATCGAGAGACCGTACTTTCTTATCTTTACACAATTCTCACTTGTTCTATTATTAATAAACGTTTGTAATTTTGCTTAATACCTTCCTCGCATAAACGTAAAACCCTTCCTTCCATTTTATCCTTCAACTAAATCCTTTTTCCTCATTAACAAAGTAAGCCCCCTAGCCTGCATTATAACTAATTCGTCCTTTGTCATGATATTTAATACTTAATGAAATATCTTTCTATAAAAATAAAACAATTAAAAAAAAAATGGGAAAAACAACTCCTAGCCAAGATGGTTATAATATCCTTATTAATTCCTTTGAAAAATATCCCCCTAGCAAAGATGGGTAGTCTTCTCCATAAAACCCTTCTAAAACAAATATCTTCCTAACCATGATGGTTCGTCTCCTCCATAATTCCCTTCTTAAAAAAATATCCTTCTAGCCAAGGTGGTTTAATCTCCTCCATGATTCCCTTCTTAAAAATATTCTCCGAGCCAGGATGGTTGGTCTTCTCCATAATTCCCTTTGAAAAAAATCCTCCTAGCCAAGATAGTAAGTCTCCTCCATAATTCCCTTCTTAAAAAAATCCTCCTATCCAAGATGGTTAGTCTCCTCCATAGTGCCCTTCTAAAACATATCCTCCTAGCCAAGATGGTCAATTTCCTCCATAATTCCCTTCTAAAAAAATCCTCCTAGCCACGATGGTTTGTCTTCTCCATAATTCCCTCCTAGAAAAAAATATCCTCCAAGCCAATATGGTTAGTTTTCTCCTTAATACCCTTCTAAATAATACCCTTCTAAAAAATATCCTCCAAGCCAAGATGGTAGTCTCCTCCATAATTTCCTTCTAAAAAAAAGCACCCTCCAAGCCAATATGGTTAGTTTCCTCCTTAATACCCTTCTAAATAATACCCTTCTAAAAAATATCCTCCTAGCCAAGATGGTTAGTCTCCTCCATAATTCCAATCTAAAAAGTACCCTCCTAACCAAGATGGTTTATCTACTCCATAATAAAATATCCTTATTACCAATATGGTCGTCTTCTCAGTAATTCCCTTAAAAACAAAGTCTGGGTCTTGCGCGTAACTTTGTACACACCTGTCCCAAGTTCTTTCCACTGACTATCCCTATTGCCAAGTATGACATGTCTATATCTTTTATAAACAGTTGTCATGCTCATTCAAAGGCATATTCATAGAAAGGTCGAAATCTCCTTGCTGCCACGGTGTCAGATTTAACGTTTGGTATACCGTGAGGTATATCTAGGTTGTGTTAACTTCAGGTTTACTCCGATCTGAACGATAACCAAGTTAACGATCATTAAATAACAATTGACTTTTTCTGCAGGCTGGTACAAGGACAAGATTTTGCCCAAGATGGAGTTCTGTGTTGTTGGTTGGGTAAGATCAAGACCAACACAATCATCAAGGAGCTCTCCAAACCCTGGATGCTGGATGAGAAAGCAGGGGAGACCACGGAGAAGTTTCCTTGGAAGATCAGCAAGGAAGAAGTCACCACGCTCAAGGAGAAGGTAGAATCTCCTCCTTGGGATCAAGCACCCCCCCCCCCTCCACAGTGAAAACTATAAACTTTATATTTATTTTTGTGTAAGTTGGTCAGTAGTCGGCAGAATGATTCACATGTTAATTAATGCATGCAAATTAAAGTAGAGAAAAAAAGTAAATTTTAATGACTATCATCCCACCCTATATTTTTAGGCTATTGAAATGTCAAACCCCAAAACAGATTTTACCTACCCTACCACACAGTTGGTTTTTTGTATGTAGTAGAAAACACCACACTTTTTGTTCTTTTTTTTGTCCAATTCATTTCATGGAGCCTTTCAGAGATCTCTCAGGTTATTCTGGATGGCTGCATGTCTAAGGAAACACATACTTTATATAATGCTCTGTATAATTTTTGTTTGGGAACCGCCCCCCCCCCACCACCCCCCAGGCTTGATCCTACTCATCGATCACCTCATCTCCATGAAATCCAACTGGGAGAAATGCAAGCTGCGCATCTTTGCCGCCACGAGCAAGAAGGAGCAAATGGACAGGGAGAAGATGAACATGGCCAACATGCTTAGCAAGTTCCGCATCAACTGCTCGGACGTGGAGGTCATCCCGGACCTGAACAAGAAGCCCAAGGACTGAAAGCCTGAGACGGTTCAAGAAGCTGTCCGAACCCTGGATGCTGGATGAGGAAGCAGGGGAGACCACGGAGAAGTTTCCTTGTAAGATCAGCAAGGAGTAAGTCACTACGCTCAACGAGAAGGTAGAATCTCCTCCTTGCGCTCAAGCACCCCCCCCCCCCTTCCACAGAGAAAACTATCAACGAGGGCCATTTGGGCGCCATCGTGGCTTAACCAGCATGAGTGAACCAGTGAAGTGTCCCTCATTCCGGCTTCTGCTTGTTTGACTATAAAGCGCCCTCTTTTGTCCATGCATGGAGACAATACACTTAAACCTTTCCCAGTGTCCACTTTACGCTAAGTCCCTGGTTTGTGTGATTTTAAGTCCAGTCTTGCAACATCTGTTAATTGGGTCCAACCTTTGACATTCTGGAGGCTGATTTTCAATAATGAGATTGATCACTTCAATCCATTTTTCGTACAACTCTCAGTTCATTTGGTTTGCCAAGTGCATGAAACTCGACTTTAGTAAACATCAATAAATCACGACATTTTTTCGCCTGAAATCTTTTTTTTTCTTTCAGACCAACAGACAGATGCGGATCCGTGAATTGCTTCGCCAACATTCCCAGGAGGTTCAGCTCATTGTCATGTAAGTACAAACCGGCGATAATGGCCACTATCGGACAATTAACCTATCACGGTGGAATTGCGTCAACGCAGCTTGTAAAATATTGTCTAAACATGATATACAAATGGACGCAGAACGCCAAAAATCTGAGTCAAACAAAAGTTAACGTACAAAATTCCATGAGCCGTTTCGCGGATACCGCCATCTTTGAAATTGGGGGGGGGGGGGGGGGGCATTACAATGAAAAGACATCCCATCATTCTCAGCTACAGTTGCATGATGAGACGTATTTTCATTGTAATGCCCCCCCCCCCCCCGAAAAAAAAAATAATTCAAAGATGGCGGTATCAGCGAAAAGGCTCATAGAGTTGTCTAAGGGGCGTGGTTAACTCGCAAACGGCGGTAGGTCAATGGGTGGCGCTTTTCATGGTGGCACAATTGCTGACGTTTACACGAAATACCAAAATTCTTTAAAAGCCGCTGGCGAAACAAGAAACTTTTTAAACAAAACTAAGGACACTTGTGTAAAAACTAAAAGTTACTTGTGTAAAAAGGGCACTCTTTACAGAATACTGGGGGGGGGGGGGTGTTAACTGCTGGTGCAAAAAAATGGGGGCGGGGTGAGCAAAAGATCTAACAGTGCTTGTGACCCAGTCTGACTGAGCTACTGTGGTCACCTGATCAAAAGTGGTGATCTGATTGGCCAATGTGCACTGTTGATTGACATGCAGGAAGGGTCCATTATAACCTTTTCTTTGATTTCTTGCAGGAGTCTACCTATTCCCAGGAAGCGTACTTGTTCAGCTTACATGTACATGTGCCGGCTGGAGACATTATCCAAGGATATGCTGTCAGCAGGGGCCTTGCATCACCTGACCAAATATGGCATCCAAATAAAAGTCAATACAAAGAAATTCACTTTAAATGATAAAGTGACAAAGGACAATTCCAACCAGTTGAAAGACCCTCCTCGCTTGAATGGAATTTGTGTTTTGTGTTAATTGATTTCGTTGAGATTGTTTCTTTACCATCTAACGGGCTCACACTTTCACTGATGTTTTCAAAGTGAGTTTCTTGAATGCAGTCAAGTAATACTGATTTAGAACAATAAAAGTCTTCAAATAATTTGGAGTCTGTTAATCAAGAAACACTCGTCACACTTTTGCGGGTTTTAAAAACAACAGCCAACTCCACTTTTTCCATTACTATGGGCACGTTTCTGTTTCAACTGAAAGTAATTAAAATCATGGTTTTTTTTCACAACGAAGCCAAGCGAAAAAAGAGAGTATTTATCAACAATGGTGGTGCTTTTGGTAATCCTCAGAATTAGGTTTTATGCATACTGTTTTCATAGCCAGTCAATTGTACTACTTTTACATAATTCTCACATATTGTAACGTTTAAAATAATGCAATCATTTCATAAAAACCAGTGTTCTAATTGCTGTGAATAGCATTAGAATATTTCAAACAATTGTTAATCCAAATGCCAAGCTTAAAGTCTATAAGAAAATCAGATTCAATCACTCGAGACTTTTTTCGTGACTTGAAATAAAAATTGATACATACATGGGATTGATTTAATTGACATTATCTGTGCTGGGCATACAGGAACATAAGGCGAAGAAAATAACATGTTATAGTAAATGCTCTAAAATTATCCACGTAGGTAGCAAAATATTGTGTTTGTTTGTCTGTATGTCTTTTATACTTTGTTTGCTTCAATTAGGATACAGTTATTGTGTTTAATTAATCTGTTTTAAATACCCAATACTACAAACAAGTTGCATTTATTTTCGGGAAAAATAACACGTTATTTTATATGTTGACCAAATGTGGCAATAAAAAAAAATGGCGGTCGGAAACATGGCCTAAAAAATCCAGGTTGGTCGAGATAACGCCATAAACACAATCTGTTTTTAGTTGTTAACATTTCTGGATACATGGTGGTACTGCTTTATTGCAAACCTTTTGTTTCGAAAAAAAATTATGACCCAGCTTGCTTTGAAAAAATATTCTATCAAAATACTTCCCGATAGGCCTACAATGGATACAATGAAAAAAAAATCGTTGTCAACAAACTTAACGCATACTTTTCACTATATCCCAATACTTGTGCATAAAACTAAATATTTTGTTTTGCTAAAAGTAAAAAAAAAAGGCAAATCCATTGTAGTATATAGATCAGAGCATGCGCAATGCAAAAACATTAATAATAATATGTTTTTTGTGACATTGTCATTGAACATTATTTGTTTTAATTCAGTGGTTATTGTTTCGGCAAAATGGAAAGCGATTAAAAAAAATCAGCAACACGATGCTCGTGTATCTTTATGTGTGGATTGTTTTGCTTATTCGGGGTAAAGGAGGAAGCCACTGAATGAGGTGTAGTGCCAGGAATCACTAGTCGCCCTACCGCGCATTGTGAGATACATCGTATCTCCACGCTGCAGAACCACCACCGCGCTCCCAGACACCTGCACATAGTGACTTGAATCATTGCTATAGCCAGTGACAACCGCGTCGCCGTTCTTCCGGAGATGAACGCGCAGGTAGCTGCTGGAAGGATATTTGTTCACAGAAAACATGAACACGTAGGTGCCCGGCACACCACACGTGAACGTGCCGGTCTCGAGATCGAAGCTGGTACCCGGCAGAAGCGTCTCGGTCGCCTGGAAGGGCAAACGGGTGTCGTGACTCGTAGAGGTATCCGAGCTGCTCGTCCTCACCACGGTGAATGCTACCCGCTGGTTGGAGTCGTTTGGTGTCTCCCCTGGCTCACCCTTTTGACCTTTGACACCAGTTTCCCCCGTTGGCCCTACAACACCTGGGACTCCTCTTGGACCTATTTTTCCGGGCTGGCCTATGCCTTCGTCCCCTTGAGGCCCAGCTGCTCCACGCTCACCCATAGGTCCACTCTGTCCAATATCACCCTTTTGACCTGGCTCGCCCTTTGACCCTGGTTGACCTAAGGACCCAGGCAGACCTGGTATGCCGGGAATTGCAGCCGACCCCTGGCAGCACATCGGACACGCCTGAGACGCAGGACCATCACCGTCCGAGGCAACCGGCCCAGTAACGGAAGCTCGGAGGTTGACGGAGTTACCCAGAAGGAGGGCGATTGAAAGAACGGTTGCCACGCAGATATTCATTCTGCACAGGATAACAACGATTAAACTGAAACAAGTAAGGTGAGAATTTCTTTTAAATAAAATAGTAAAAAAATTGCGACGAGTAGAGAAAAAGGAAAAAAATATTGCAACCTGACGCTACTTTTTTTCTTCATTATATCATCTCAATGAAGGTCATTCATTGCAAAAATGATGATAAGACATGAATCTGGGACTAAGAAACATTTCCATTTTTGTTAGGAAATACTTAGAAAATTGTCTTGATCCTCCATAAACTTTGTACACAATCGCGGAAGTGGCATCAGGTTGCAACCTTTTTTTCGAGAAAAATATTGATGTCGGATAAGCTGCAGAATTAGTCTAAAACTTATGACAATGTCACCAAATTGCATGCCGATAAGGTGAAACGCACTGGAGCTGTAGTATTTGGGGGGGGGGAGGCGGAGCACATTTTGCCCCTTCCCAGGTCCTGATAGAATAATTAAACATCACCACACCCACCTCGATGGTTCGTTCTTGAAGATCAGGTCCAAGAAGAGATCACAAGGAGTTCAGTGCAGGCTGGAAAAAAAAAAACGAAGACTGGTTACGTTTATACTTTAGTAAGGAATAACATTTTATCATCAATGAATATAAATTCGTGATTTTTTTCTCATTTATTTTAATGGCACAAATCGTTTTTATGGCACATTGTTCCATTTCTCACGAAATTGACCTGATGCTTGAAATTAGTCCAATATTTCTATTGAAAGGTTTATTCCAATCGCCTGCATCTACTTATGACGCCGTAGTAAATCATTGAAATTTCAAATGTCACACCTTGCTTACTCAATATTGCAATGCGCATAAAAAATGGGCAAGCGTTTTGAACACCCGGTTGAATTTAGCGAAAGTTCACAATTTTTCAGAGTATTTTCATTCACGAGTAAAAAGTAGGCATCAAAACGTGACTTGTGCCTTGAATTTCTTGCGCTTTGGATTTCAGTCCCGCTCGAGAATTCAATTTGATGCGTTATAGTGTTGCAAAACAATTTAAAATTAATGATATGGCTTTTTAAAAAGTTTGATAAAGGAATTTACAGCTATTTCGAAGAAAATATTGAATGCCTAACAAATTTCAAAACAGAAGTTTAAAATGTAAAGTGTCAAAGTGATTGAAGAAAATACACTCTGAGCACTCAAAAGACAGATTTGTATATGTAGGCTAAACCGAAGTGAGCAGTTTGTTTATTGTTGTAATCACTCTGTGGAAATAAAAAGAGCGAATTATTAAATTTTCTTCGTATCGCCAATACGATTTACGTTTAGCGAATCGCTAATGCCAAATTAAGATGACCCCTGATTTTACTGCACTTTCGCTGAAAATGAATACTTCCTCTATAACAAATACGCCTACTCGGTGAAAACTCCAATAAAAATAGGAACGATTATTTTTTTAACACGAAAAATGCTGCCCACACGCCTTTTGTTGTTGTAAATATCCCCCCAAAATCGAATGCTCTAATTGCGACCGTTTGAAGAGTAATAAACATTGCAACTTATAGTAAGTTGCGAAATGGGATGGGAAATCTATATTATGATTCACTTACGTTATAAACAATCACAAACGAATAACAACGTGATCAACGAACAACAAAGAATTAGAACGGTAATTGCGGACACAATTTAGTAAAACATGAGAACATGATTAAGAATATAACATTATATACATGCTAACTTATCCGCTTAAACAATAACTAGCAATTGATGCAATCAATACTTATTTTCATTAAGTTATTTTTTTACTGTTGCGAAACTAATTGTGAACAGATAAAACAAAATGACATTTAAACTTAGCGTGTTTCGCTAGTTCGAGGCACCCTGGTGAATTTGACGAGGAATCTGATTGTTTGAGAATAAAATCTAAATTCAATGGTGTTGCTATACAAAAAAATGGCATGTCTAGCAACGGTTTGAGTGTCTGTTTTATCAACATTGCTTTAAAGATGCAGTTCCCGTACTATTTTCGAGTTTCACCTCCACAATTTAATTTCAATTGCTATTTTTCTAAAAAATATAAAATATATTTACTTTTGAATGAGTAATGGAACGGAAAAAATCCACAAAAGTTTAGTTACTGAATTATTGCTTCACAAACTTTAAATTATTGGCTGTCAGACAATAATTCGCTTCTCGCAGGGCGGGTTCAACTGTGCGCAAAAATGAAAATTCCTTTGGCATGCAGACGCCCAAAATCGGATCAAAGTAGTTGTTTTTACCTTAATAAACAAAACACATATACACATGGACAATTCGTAAGAGAAACAAATCTATTTTGAATAGCAAGGGGTATGCATCCTTACTTTGAATAAAGGAAATTGATTTTGAATGCACATTTGAAAAATTCGATCGGAAAACCTATATTAATGATAAATGTCATTCGAGAACGTTTTCTGCTACAGTTTTGACAACAACGTTTATCGATGCACACAAAAAGATAAAGTCTGCCATTAAATAAACGCTCAATTCTGACAGTTGTGTGAGGATATGTCAAATAGCAGATACTCACCTGAATGTAACGTTCTTGAATTCTATCACGAAAAGAATCCTCAGCACTCGAGCAGATTGCTGGCTGAAAATAATACCAACGAAAACGAGTCATTGAAAGTCAGATGGGAGATAACTTGCGGGATGGTGGGGGAGGCATAGCTGAATTGTATCAGTAAAACGCCGCAAAAAAATCTCTGTCGCGTGCGTGAAATGTGGTTTGGATTGATTATTTATTCCGGTAGGAATTCGTTCATCAACGGCCCTGACTAGACTCACGCACGGGAGAAACACCAGTAGTTAAACAAGTTAAAATTAATTCAGATCATTCGCAAATGTACAGAAAGTACACACAATAGAACTGGTTTCAAACAACCTGTAAAATTATTCCGCCTGATTAAGCGTAAAATAAAATAAGTAAAATGAAGGCTTTGCTGTTTTCAAAATAGTGTGCCGGCGGGCACACTCTTTTGCGAGTGTAAGAAACGGTATCCAGTTACGATAAGCAAAAGTTGTGCATACGTTTACTCTCAAATGAGAAGATATTGAGGATATTTTTTAGAAGTGATAATTGAGGAGACAAACCATCATGGCCAGGAGGATATTTTAAGAAGGGATAATGGAGGAGACTAACTATCATTGCTTGGAGGATATTTTTAAGAAGGGATGATTGAGGAGACTTACCATCATGGCCAGGAGGATATTGTTTTAGAAGGAATAATTGAAGAGACAAACCATCATGACTAGGAGGATATTTTTAGAAGGGATTATTAAATGAAAACCATCATGGCATGGAGGATATTTTGAAGGGATAATTGAGGAGACGACTCATCACGGCTTGAAGGATATTTTTAAGAAGGGATAATTAAGGAGACTAACCATCACGGCGAGGAGGATATTGTTTTAGAAGGGATAATTGAGGAGACAAACCATCATTGCTAGGTTGTTTTTTTTAGAGGGGATTATAAAAATAAAAACCATCATGGCATGGAGGATATGTTTTAGAATAGATAATTGAGGAAACTAATCATTTTGACTTGAAGGATATTTTTTTCTAAAGAGATTATTTAACACACAATCCATCACGGCTTTGAAAATATTTTTTTGAGAGGGGATAATTGAGGAGACTAATCATCACAGCTAGGAGGATATTTTTTTAGAAGGGATTATTGAAATAAAAACCATCATGGTAAGAGAATTTTTTTAGACGAGATTATTGTTCAGACAATCCATCATGGATTGGAAGATATTTTTAACATGTGATCATTGTGGAGAATAAACATCATGACAAGGAGGATGTTTTTTAGAAGTGATAATTGAGGAGACTAAACCATCATGGCCAGGAGGATATTTTAAGAAGGGCTAAATAAGGAGACTAACCATCATGGCTAGGAGGAATTTTTTAGAAGGGCTATAAAATGAGGAGAGTAAGCATCATGGCTAGGAGGATATTTTTTAGAAGTGATAATTGAGGAGACTTACCATCATGGCCAGAGGAGGATATTTTTTAGAATAGTAATAGAGGAGACAAACCATCATGGCCAGGAGGATATTTTTTAGAAGGGCTATAAATGAGGAGAGTAAGCATCATGGCTAGGAGGATATTTTTAGAAGTGATAATTGAGTGGCTAACCATCATGGCCAGGAGGATATTTTTAAACGGGCTAAATGAGGAGACTAACCATCATTGCTAGGAGGATATCTTTTAGAAGTTATAATTGAGGAGACTCACCATCATGGCCAGGAGGATATTTTTAGAAGGGCTAAATGAGGAGACTAACCATCATTGCTAGGAGGATATCTTTTAGAAGTGATAATTGAGGAGACTTACCATCATGGCCAGGAGGATATTTTTAGAAGGGCTAAATGATGAGACAAACATCATGGCTAGGAGGATATTTTTTGAGAAGGGATAATTGAGGAGACTAATCATCACGGCTAGGAGGATATTTTTTCAGAAGAGATTATTGAAATATAAACCTTCATGGTTAGAGGATATTTTTAGACGAGATTATTGTACAGACAAACCATCAAGTCTTGGAAGATATTTTTAAGATGTGATCATTGAAGAGACTTACCATCATGGCTAGGAGGATATTTTGAGAAGTGATAATTGAGGAGACTAACCATCATTGCTTGGAGGATATTTTTTTAGAAAGGATAATTGAGGAGACTAACCATCATGGCGAGGAGGATTTTTTTTAGAAGAGATAATTGAGGAGACTTATCAACACGGCTGAGGGGAAATTATTTTAGCAGGAATTATTGAAATGACAACCATCATGGATTGGAAGAAATATTTTAGAAGGGATAATTTTGGAGACTAATCATCACGGCTAGGAGGATATTTTTGAAGGGATAATTGAGGAGATCAACCATCATTGCTTGGAGGATATTTTTTTAGAAGAAATAATTGAGGAAACTTATCATCACGGCTAGGAGGCTACTTTTTTTTTTAGAAAGGATAATTGAGGAGACGAACAATCATGGCTAGGAGGATATTTAAGAAGAGATAATTTAGGAGACTTATCATC